CTTCTCACCATAATTACTTTCTCTGTTCCTCTCCCTCCTCTGCTATGGGGACTGAACCCAGACATCCAATAAAAGCCATCAAGTAATCTCCTCTTTAATAAATAAAATGTGAAGCATCAAACCCACACCACTAAATGGCATTGTAACATATTAACACATTGCAGTCATCCAGAAACATCTATCGGTACAAATGCGTGCCCTTTGCATTCTTCTGTGGCTATAGAGAATGGAAGCTTCTGGTTTTATTCAAGATTCTGCTCTTCTATAACATAAAAAGTTGTATTTTAAACACATTTCATATTTCCTTCAAATATGATATCTGTTCAAAAACGTATTCATTAATGGTAACATTTTAGATTATGATTAAGAAGCAAGGAAAAATAAGTCTACTAGAATATTTTATATTAAAAGATGAAATTGACTAATGTCAAGAGGTAAATAAGTTGAAACTCATGATAATTTATAAAGTGAAAATTGGCAACAAACAGTTCTAAGAATCCTTGCTCCCCACCATCCACCCTTCCTCTATTGGTCCCACTTAAAGAAGTTGCAAGAAACACTTAAGTCTCATTTCTTCTCCCAGATCAATATTGTCACCCATTGTGTGGTCCCACTGATTAAATGAAACGCAAATATCCTGGAAAAATAGTTTACACTTCTAAAATACAAAAGGTAATTTTTGTCTGTGGGAAGTGTAAGAAAGATTGTCAGGGAGAAGTGAGAGAAGTGTAAGGTGGCACTGAGTAGGCAGGCATGAGAGGTGATATGTCCCAGAAGCCAGGAAAACCTACACTGCAGACTCTGCAAGACTGGGGGCCAAATTCTTGTCTCTGTGCAGTTCTCTCAATGTTCCCATCTGTGAAGTGGGCACAATGAATGTCACAGTATCAGAATAAAGGAGTAAAATGCCTGACAGGTGTTACAGATAGGGAGTACGCAGCAAATAGCACCCACAATTACTCTTCTGTTACCCAGTTTAATGTCACTGCTATTTCAGAGAAAATAGAGAAAACAGAACTGCTATTGGACTTCATCGTGATTATTTTTCTAAATTCTGATTCCCTACTGATAACTTGAGGAGACCAGAGAACCGAATTTGTGAGGAAGAAATGTAGTGGATTCTTACTGCATGGGTCCTACTTGGATTCACCCAAGGGGACTTAGTAGAAATATCTTACTGAGGACCAACCCAAGGCCTCGATCCTTAAGACAAGTGCTCTGGATGAATTTCCTTCAAAGTACATTCAATGTCTAATGATGCAGCAGAAGTCTATTCTAAGATTTGGGCTAGTATAGTGCTGTTAATTTGTCTTCTGTGTGGAGGAAGAAAAATATTCTGCCTACACGTTTTCAAATTGCATTTAAATGGGTTACCTACATCTTTTATATGACACAAACTTTTCCCAGTGTTGAAAAAAGTAAAACCATTGTCTCACATGACAAAGGAGAAAATATTTTCCTTTCCCTTCTCATTAAAAAAAAAAAAGCCACAAAACATGACAACAAATAATGAAAGAAAAATAAAGGGAGCCATTCCTTCTCAGGAGGAGGGGCCGGGTCGCCGCAGGGAATAGCCAGTGTCTGGCGTTCTGACTCTTACTTTCCCCATAGCTTATTACTTACTTGCTGCCTAAGAATGTGGATGATTCTAGCTATGCTTATTGGTGTTTTGTTTCTCTTCTTACGTTCTGTGTCCTGCACCAAGTCCCAGAGGTCACTTCGGGGTCCTGCCTTGAGTCTCCTAAGCAAGCATTCAGATGGCTCTTAGTATTTCTGCAGTGTCACTTCTTACCAGGCTCCTGACAGCCAGAAGGCCTCATGTGTGCCCTTGTGTTTCTCACAGTCACTAAACCCTTCGGGTCTCACTAAAAGCATTTCTCACTGTGGTTCAGTTGGGTACTAAGCAACTGAGCACATACACCATTCACTGCGTGACCTTTAACAAGATGACCTTGAGTCTACCGAAGGCAGCACAGGGAGGAAAGAAATAACGGCTGTGGTGACTCTTTAGAGGGTGCATAATTCATTTCTGGAACTGTATTTTTGAACTTGTAAAAACAATAACTCTTAGAAGTGATATTTTCCATCATTGCATATGGATCTTTAAAAATATCAAATTTGCTCTATAATTCATTTCAATGCAAGACAAGACCTGCCTTCTCCTCCAGTCTTCCTTCAACCTTTCTCTTTTGGCACATCCTTATGCTGCTTGAATTTCCTGATAGTACTATGTTTGCATAAAAGAATATTAATTTTCAGAGTGACACTTAAAGGTGCTATTTTAAAAACATTGTATTTTGATTATAAGAGAAAGGAGAGGTATTAATCATTAGCATGCTTTACAATACTTATTATAGTTCAAATGAAATTTTTAAAACAGTGCTTATCCTATTGAGTATTTAGGAACTATCAAACATAACTGTATATGGGTTCATTACAGGTGGAATCAATATGTAGAATTCTGTAGCTTACCAAAAGCACATTGAAGGCAGGGCGTGGTGGCTCACGCCACCCAGTTGAACTGGAGACAAAACATTGATTCGAGGTCAGTCTATGCAAAAAGTTGGTAAGACCACAACTCAACCCATAAACCAAGCATGGTGGGATGTGTTTGTAAACCCCACTACGCAGGAGTCAATAGATAGGAGGATTACGGTCTGAGGATGCAACTCAAGACACTTTCTGAAAAACAACAGAAGCACAAAGGGCTGAGGTGTGACTTAAGTGGTACAGCTTCTGCCAGCAAGCACAAAGCCCTGAGTTCAAAGACCAGCACTGCTGGGAGGTGGGACGGGGAGGAAAAGTATACTGAGGTTCCACCTCACTCTAGTCAGAATGACTATCATCAAGAAAACCAACTGCAAACGCTGGCTAGGATGTAGGGGAAAAAGAAACTCTTGCACACCGTTGGTGGGGGTGTAAGTTAGTGCAGTCACTATGGAAATCAGTCTGGAGGTTCCTCAAGAAGCTAAAAATATCCACAAAAGAATCAAAATTACTAGGAAGGTACCTGGTTGACCCATGTTTATTGCGGCACTATTCATAATAGCCAAGTTATGGAACCAGTCTCAGTACCCATCAACAGATAAATGGATAAAGAATATGTGGTACATGTACACAATGGGGCATTACTCAGCCATTAAGAATGAAATTATGTTCTTTGCTTGAAATGGATGGAACTGGAGATCATCAAGTTAAGTGGAATAAGCCAGTCCCACAAAACAAGTAAGTATTGCATATATTCTTTCCTTTGTGGAAGGTAAGGGGGAAAAGCCCCAAGATCATGAAAATTGAGGGGGGATGGAAAAGAGAGCGGGAAGAGTGTGGTAAGAAAGAGTAATAGAGGGAATACAGGATCAAAATATGTTGTATGTGTGTAGGAAACAGTCATAATGAAATCTCGTACTTTGTACAATCTAATATATGCTAAGAAAAAAGAAAAAAAAAGAACTCCATATTTGAACAGATTCACTTTTTCATCTGAGAGTATTATATATTTTCTCAAATGTTGATAAATAATACACTTATTTCACTGGTGGAAATTGTGCTGATAAGGCTGAGCTTTCTACCTGTGACAAAGGTCTGCCCAGGCTGCCAATGGGCCTCCTGAGCTCGGGCAGGGCTGGGATATTAATGCAGAACATCATGCCTTATCGTGTTATCTCCTCATCCTCACTAGTGAAACATGGCCTGCCGCCATTATGGATTAAGCCATGTCAAGTCACCCAAAAGTGCTCACGAAGGAAATGCTCCTGATTAAATTTATCTAGACTTTTTACTCAAATTAGTGCTGCATTTTCTATAGATAGGGAAATGGGTATTCTGCTTAGAAATGTCACTAAGAAAGTCTTCTGCTAAGGAAGAGAGTTGTTAAAGAATTCTAATTCTAACTCTTAAACTTCTGTGGCCATTGGCATGCGTTGGGGTATGTGTTAAAATGCACACTCTGAGTCTCCAAGCCCAGAATTTCCGACATATTAGGGCTCAGATTATAGGACCCCTGGGTGACTCTGATGTCTCTGATGTACTTTGAGAGTGCACTGGTGCTGGGTGCCCTGGGCCTAGCTGAGAAGTCACACACCGGGAGGCCGTGTCGAGCCACACATGCAAAGGCAGAGCTATGACACTTGGAGCACTTTGCCTCTGACTGCAGCTCACTTGTTTTCGGTTCAGTTTTTGTCTCCCCAGGGACTTTGAGTGGCCTCATTGTGCAGTCTTGGGCACTGACCTACCAAGCTCTGCATGCAGTTTTTCCTTCCTTTCTCTCTCTCCTCCATCCCACGATAAACATAGGCCTTATGTGTGCCATGCAAAAGTTGACAGCCAGATGTCTAACAAGATACCCCGTGTCGGGGTGGGGGAGGTTATGACTGCCAATACTTCAGTGAGAGGTCTTTGCCCCTTCTAACAAAGAGCTCTGGAAAGTGTGGGCTGCTCACCACGAGGGACAAATGGCAAGTGCTGATGTCCAGATGCCCTTGGCAGTGCAGTAGGGGAGGAGCTGTCTGTCTGCTTGCCTCCCCTCTTGTCAGGTCTCCTCAAATCCACCCTAAGCTCCTAAGAAAGCATAGGATTTCCTCTGCAGACTTATGTAGAAGTTAAAGAGGACAGATCGACCACAAAAGACCACCAGAGTGCCACATTCTTGTACTCCAGCTTTGCATCTTGGGGTGGATAAAATCAGCCTGGAAAACACTGGCTAATGTTACCCAAGCTCACTTGACCCTAATATAATATGAATCTGAATCATAAAATCAACATGGGAAGCCTGCTTGATCCACAAAGGGCTTGCACGAGCAACAGCCCTGAGACATTGGATCAGAGGTCACTTGTGCTCTTCTACCAGAGATCCTGCTGGAGACCAGAGGTATCAGAGTAGGAGGAGCCACAGGGTAGGTGATGAGGATAGCCCGGGCGAGCCTGGCCTAATCAGGAGAAGTGGGGCTGGGTTCTGAACCTAGCCCTACTATTCATGACCTTTGGTAAGTTACATAAAGTCTTTAGCCTCGGTATACTACCTGTAAAATGTCAGAAGCACACTGACACATAGTAAGCACTCTCAAATTATCATATTGCTAGAATTATTATTCGCCCTCCTGGAAAAGGTTAGAAAGCTAAGCTCAATGTTGGGACATGAGTGGACGCAGTGGGAGAATTTCTTCTATTTATTACCTAGACACAGAGCATGTAAGCCTGTTGGAACTTGTGGGACAGAAGCTAAATTAAGATATTTGACTAATATTAAAAACAGTAAAGATGTTGCCATAATCAGCTTTCACAAAACGCTATTAGTGTTTGTCCCTATTAGAAATTTTTATAGTGCAAAATTTAATTGGATAAAATAAAGCAAGCCATCAACTTTAAGTCAACACTACAAACTGCAAAATAACCTGGGAAAGCATTATGGAAAAGCTCATATTTGAAATTCAAAGTTAGTGTACCATAACACGTCCCAGGAGAAAAACATACTATATTCTTATGACCTCTCAACCTTAGAGCGAAAGGATATACACTCGTTACTTACGCAAGTTCAACATCCTGCTTTCTTTTTTATTGTATTTTTCAGATTAATTGAGGTATCATTGAGAAATAAAATTATCTCAATTTAAGATCTACCACATGATTATTTGAAATGTTTGCCACAGTCGAGTTAGCTTATCTACACCTTACATGATCACTGCAGATGACACGTTGGACACCTGAGGATTTCCTTCTTTTTCAAGGCTGAGTAATATTTCCTTCCATATATATGCCATGTCCTCCTCTTTATGCATTTGTCTGTGAATACACACTTTGTGTCTTTAATTTCTCCCCTCAATATTTTATAGTTTTCAGTATACGGACCTTTTTACCTCCGGGATTAAATTTCTTACATATTTTATTCTTCTTGATGCTACTGTAAATGAGATTGTTTTCACAATCTCTTTTTCAGGTTACTTGCTGTTAGAGCATAAAAATACAGCTGATTTGGGGATGCTGATTTTGTATGCTGCAAGTTTAATGAATTTATTTGTCAGTTCTAACTGTTTGGGGCTGTCTTTAGTGTTTCCTATAAATAAGATCATGCCATCTTCACAGAGACAGTGTTACTTTTTCCTTTTGGATTGGATGACTTTTCTTTTTCTTGCTTAATAGCTCTGGCTAGGTCTTCTAATACTATGTTGAGTAAAAGTGGTAAGAGTATGTACTTTTGTATTGTTCCTATGAATTATTTTTCAAATTATAAATTGAGATAAAAATTGGCTAGTGCTCCCTACAGCTGTACTTTCAGTTAGCACATCAACATACTTCCATTCATTCATTCAAAACCAGATATCGATCAACTATAATGAGCCAGACACTGGATAGTGCAGTCAGACAGGATGCAGTGGCAAATAACAGAGAAGGATTAAGTATTTCTATGCAGACTTTCCACTTTACCATTCAGGATTGAGCAAGCACCACCTTCCCCTTTGCTGAAACTTACATTTATGTGTCCGTTCTGGATAAGTCTTGCAAAAAGCTTGACGAACACCGTCAGGGACACACAGAACAGGGCAAAGCTTAGACCAGGTCGAGGGCTTGCAACACCAGGTGGAACTCTTCATAGCGGAGCGGGTCCACACAGACTGAGGAGAGTTTTGCATATGGGAAGGGGAAGGCCACTGCATAGCCAAGGTAGTTGGTCCCCGCAATCCCTGAAAAGGACTAGAAGCAGTATGGGCCGAGAAGAGCAGATTCCAAGGTTATTGCAAAATGCAGTGGACATCCCATAAGGCTCAGAATCACAAAGGTGAAACTAGCTTCCCACTGAAAAGAAAGCAGAAGCAAATTGTTAACTTTGGAGGTGAGATATTACAAAAGCTTCTTAGCAATGGAGGAAGATGCTGGGCATCCTCTCCCATTGGGAAGGAAAGGACACTGGCCAGCACCTTCTCTTTAGACCCTGCTAGACTTGCCTCTAATCTGTGTCATAGGAGGAAAACATGTCAGCCAACCGGGGAGGAAATGAAATCAGTTCTATTCAGCACATTTTTGTTTGTTTATCTCCTCACATGTGTAGTGAGCCAGTCTGGGATGGGAAAACAAAGATGCACAAAGAGTCCCTTCTCTAGGACCAAGGGTGTGACCCATGGTCCAGGAGCACTGACTGCCCCCAGAAGCCTGTCAGAAATGTTAACTCTCAGACCTCACCCAGGTCAACTGAGTCAGAATCTGCAATTCAACCCACTCTGCAGCTGATGTACACATACACTGGATTTTGAGAAGCACAGTCTTAGCCATGGGTATAAAGTCTGTAATCAGGACAGGAGTGGTAGCTCAAGCCTATTAAGCTAGCTACTTGGGAGGTGAAGATGAGGTGGATGAATGCTCAAGGCCAGTCCAGGGAGCGGGGGAGGAGGGGTTCTTGGGGCTCAATTTCAATCAATGACTGGACACGGGGGCAAGTACCTGTCATCCCTGCAACATGGGAAGTGTAAATAAGAGGATCCCAATCCAGGCCAGTCCTGGGTATGAATGTAAGTCCCTATCTCAAAAATGACCGAGGTCATAAAAAGGAATAAGGGCATAGCTCAAGTAGTAGAATATCTGCCTGGCAAGCCTACGGCCCTGGGTTCAAACCCCAGTACCACCACCATCGGGGGAAAAAAAAAAGCCTGTAATCAGACAGGGTAGTGTTTGCTCTTCTTTTATTTTTTTTTGGTGGCACCGGGGTTTGAACTCAGGGCCTCATACTTGCTAAGCAGGCATTCTTACCTCTTGAGCCACTCCGTCAGTCCTTTTTGGTGTGGGTTTTTTCAAGATAAGGTCTTTGAAAATTATTTGCCATGGGCTGACTTTGAACCTTGATCCTCCTGATCTCTGCCTCCTGAGTAGCTAGGATTACAGGCGTGAGCCATCAGCTTCCAGATAAGGTAGACTTTCTGTATCATAGAATTGCCTGGCTCTGTATTGTTGAAGTGCAAGATGTTATAGTTTCCATCTTTTTTTCAGTGGGAGCGGTAACAGAGAGACAGTGAGGAGATTTTGGATTGAGTTGAAACTTAAAACTGCATGCTTAAGGACTGAGTGCATAGCTCAGTGTGAAAGTGCTTGCCTAGCAGGTGTGAGGTCCTGGTTCAACCCCTAACTCTGCAAAAAATAATTTAAATGTAAAATTATTAAAAGCAGAGGAGTGTGTAGATCCTTTCCTTCAAAATTAACTTCAGGAGCACTTAACATTGGCTCTGTCCTCCCAAAAGGAAATAAAAATCACAGGAACTTGTAGCAATTGCTTAGAGTAGGAATCAGATAAAAATTATTCATTAAAATACAGTTTACTATAGAAATCCATCATAGTAAGACCTAAGTTAGATCAAATCCAATTATAACTGGAAATCATATTCTTTATGTTCCATCCTAATTTAGAAGCGATTTGACCTTCAAATCGCTCCACCTCCCCACATGAGTCTCTATATTTACCAAGTGTCTCTGGGTCCACTCTTTGTGAGCCAATAGGAGAAACACACCAGCTGTGATGGCCTGTGGAAAGAAAATTGAAAAAATAACACCCACAATAGAAGATACCGCTGGAAAGAGTTCAATCTGTCTCACAGTTTGACAACTTTATCACGAACTAGAAGGAGCAGCGGATGGCTAAATGGATTTATGGTTCTGATGTCCTCTTCATCTGTGGAAGGAACTGTGATGACGATGAGGAAAAGAAGCCGTTAGTGTCATAGATACATGATTCATGCCAGCTCGCTTTGGATTCTCTATGCTGCCTTTGCCACCACGATCACCAGGTCTGTTTCTATAAGGCGTCACAACAAGGAATCTTGGCTCACTAGCCCTAGCTTTGTGTTTTATGTTGACCAATTGTCTAGTTTATTGCTAAGGTTGCAGATGAGTAGAAGTGGAATGGAGACCTGTCACTGGACCCTGAAATCCCTTCTAGCAGAGGCTTGATCTTTCGCTACTTGCTTTCTTTTGAGATTCTGCAGCTTCAGCCTGCTGGTGGGATACAAATACATGATCTCTGTGTCTCAAATAACAAAGCTTTCCCATCAGAATGGATGTGTGATCTCGCACTGACTGTTCTGCGTGCAGTGGTATCCAGCTTTTCAAAAGGGTTTTTCTTCATAGTCACCATTGAAGGAAAAGGCCCAAAGTGCCGAATGAAAATAGTTAACAAAGAAAGGAATGGTATCACCAGAATTGAGCAACAGATAACAAAAAAAAAAAAAAAAAAATCTCTGAGCTCATCTTTGATTCAGGCCCAGGACTGATAAAGGAGAGCTTTGTGGTCACTGAGACTAGAAATCACTTCTTCCTAATCCACAGACATCATTTGTTCCTGGTGGCAAGGAATGCTTTGAGGTTGGAGAAAACCAGGAAGAGGTATGCCTGAAATAATGCCTGTCCATATTCAGCATATGGACAGGTTTAAAAATAGCACAATTTGGGGTTTTGATAGAGAACAAAATGACTGTATGTATAGAATCAACAAATTTAAGAGGAAAAATCATTACGTTTGCCAACATGGTTTTGTGGTGCATTGCTTTCGTAGCTCTGAGTTTGGCGCATTCAGTCTTTTGAGACTTGGCTTTTCATTTTGCTGGCCTATTTTATTTTCAATGCTGGATTTAGAGAATTCGAGAGCGGGAAACACACTTGCACATACACTCACACCAAACTTCTGCTGTAGCTGAGCCTGAAGTTCTGACTTGGCATTTGCTATACCATAAAACTCCCATGGATAAAAACAGAACCATCTGTAGGCAAAAGAGGTTCCTGGCTTGATTCTGCAAGAAGAAAGTTTCCAAGAGACTCTATGGAGCTTGAACCAGCATAAATAGTACAGTGAAACAGAGGAATTAATACGAGCAACTGTCACCGATGCCGTGTGGGAAGCTGGGGGCTGGCCGGGCTTTCCGAGGCAGGCTCTCAATTGACACATCACTCCTGTGTCATTAATCAGAGAGAAACAAGGAAGCGAGACAAAAGCACAGGACCCCCCCCCCATACACACACACACTTTATTGGCTTAGCTGGGAGAGGATAGCTGCCGTTCTCCAAAGCTTAGATTCCAGGTTGCCTTGATTCCATTGGCATGAGCTATTTCTTTACTTTCAAAAGTTGAAAAATGCTGCAGAATTGCAGTTCTCTACTCTTTGGGTTGTAGCTGCCAGCTTAAATTTTGCTTTGTTTACACAAAACTTTGAAAAAGATCTTTCATGGAGTAGGCCTAGTATGAATGCATTTCAGCAACCTGTGAAATCCACTGTGCTTGAGGGCTGGTGGCAACAGAGCTGAGCAGGCCCAGCCATCTTCACTGGTGCCCCTACTATGCACAGGAGATACGTGCAGGGTGTTTTCCCCAAAAGTCACAGTTGTCCCCTTTTCTTTCTTCTATTTCTTTTTGTAAATTTTATTTTCAGATAGGGAGGGCAAAAGAAGGAAAAAGGAAGAGAGTTGAGAATAAGGAAGACATATCAAGACAGAAAACGAAGTGTGAGAGAGGGTCTGAGAGGTGATGGGTGGGTGAAGCAGTGGCTTGTGGGGAAGGATGGGGTGGAGAGGTGCCTGGCAAGGGGTAGGAAAAGCATCCCCCTCCCTCCCAGCTGCTCTCCACATGCTATTGACTTGCTTCCAGGCACTTCCGGGAAGTTGCTTAGGTTTTGCAACAATTGCTGCTAACACTTTAATTGCAGGATAATTGTGAGCCCTCCCACTAAATCTTTAAATTGCTTAAGTAAAGGATACAGTTCCCAGAAGCAGATGAATTGAAGGAAGCAGGGTGCAGTCAGGACAGAAATAGAAATCCCTAGAAGCATCATTAATATGGGATCATTTATTTCCTTCCAGGCACGTAGTGTGGGTCCACTACAAACCAGGGATGTGGTAGGCACCACACACATAAAATAATGATAATAACTGTTCCCATTCACTCAGTGGTTAATACACATAACACAATAATTGATGCATACATGAGGTTCCTGGCTTGATCTGTCCTCGTGATGAGCCTATGACAGAGAAACACAGAGAGGCTGAATGAGAAGACCATCGAGTAAAAACTGCACTAGTCATGTTCTAATCTGAAATTTCCAGTCCAGAACTGAAAGTAATGCACATATAAGAATGTCCACAAATTAGACAAGCATGAGTGCTTTCTACAAGAGGAGAGCTTGGGTGCTAAGATGCCCTTCCAGGGGAAAAACTGATGACAAAGACACCCCAGGCAAATAGGTTCTGGAGCCAGTTTGGAGGGCGGATGTTATTTCAGTGGGAGGTGACAGAGGGTGGGCAGTCTCAGCCAAGGGAGCAGCATGTGCAAAGGTTCAGTGGGTACATGCCAGCAAGGAGAAGCCCAGATCCAAAGCAGAGTCACCTCTTGGTAAAGGAGAGAAGAAAATCAGTGTTAAAAGTCATGTGACACCAGGGTCACATGAGGAGTTCTCAAAAGTCAGGTCAGCACGTCTAGGTTTTATCTGAGGTTAATAAAGTGACACCAAAGGCTTTTGAAGAAGGAGCCAGCCTGACTCCCAAGAAAAGTTTAGAAAGGTGAGCCACATATCCCATGCATGCCTGACTGGAATGGAGTGAGGCCTCCAGATCTCTGTAGGATTCGGGTCTTCAGGTTTCTTTTAACTCTATTCACAATGAGAAAGACATCTGCCATCATGGCCTAGTTATATATCTCTTTACATGTAACAAAAAGAATGCTTAACTGTCACTATGTGTGATGAACTCCCCATATTCCCTAGTCTGTTCTATTCATTGTAAGTGCCATTAAATTTCTTTTTATAATCCACTAACACATATCAAACCTGAGCAGGGGATGGAAGTTGGAAGGAGCAAAAAGGGTGTACAGTGCACAGGAAAAGGAAGGAATGCTGGGCCATGTCTGGCAGGGAAATTCCAAGTTACCCAGCAGCTGTTTGGAGCGGGGCTGGGGTTGGGCTGGCTGAGGGCACTGCTGCCCATGGTGCAGTCCTAGGGCCAATGGCATGGGATCCACTGGGAGATGCTTAGCCATGCAGACCCTCAGACTCCTCCCAAACCTACTGAATTAGACCCATATTTCAACAAGACACCCCTCCCCATGCCATGATTTGGATTAACATACAAATCACGAAGGGCTGGTTCAGAGGAAGACACTGAATCAAAAGCTATCCAGGTTTGAAGTTGAGTTCCCAAGACAAGGACAGGGAAGTTGGAGAACAAAGAATTGATTTTGGTGACAAGATGATTAATTTGGTTTTAGACAAGCTGACCATAAAGAAGCTTGGGCTATAAGTAGAAAATGACCAGTGATGAAGATTCTTTGCTTGACCAAAATTTAGTGAGGTTCCTGAACGTTCTCGGCCAATCTGCATACTTTCTTGTAAAGTCAGGGAGAAAGGAGTGGATCAAGTGAGAAAGCACCTGCCTAGCAAGGTGCTTTGAGTTCAAACCCCAGTACCACCAAAAAAAAAAAAAAATCTATTTTAATAAGAACTCTGCTAGATCAATTTGGCAAGAAACTCCCACTCTCAATACCTGTGATACCTGTTCACTCTCAATATCTATTCGCTTTTCGTCATCCTCGCCCAGCTGATATCTGATCACCCTGGCCTGGAAGGTTAGTTTAGCCACAATCTCCTTTGTCCCTGACGCATCCTTGTAGTAATTTTCCATCCTCTGACCCCCACCCTGCTTTCTGACTATAAATTCCCAGTTGCCCATGCTATACTTGGGATGGAACCCAGTTCTCTACTGAGGGTTGCCTTCCCCACTGCAGTAGTACTGAATAAAACCTGTTTGTTCTGCTGCATCTGCTTCCAGACTCTGGTTTTTCTTTGACATGGGCGGGTAGTTTGGAGTCACATGACTGATGAAACTGTTTTGAGCACTGTATAATCAAGACCCTTCTCTCACAGTTGAGGTGAGGAGGGCCTGCACAGCTAAGTAGAGCCCTGACCTCTCTCCCAAATCCCTGTCTGTCAGCAAGGCTGTGGCCTCACTGTTGCTGCTTGCTATTGGCTGAACCACTGGGCTCTTCAGTCTTGTGATTGAATTCCCTGTACTCCAGTCTCCTCATCAGAGCCTGACCTGCAAGCCACGTTTTCCAGATTAATAGGGCTCAGCCCGTAATGGATTATGACCTCCTCACTGTGCACTTTCTAGCAGCTGATGGCTTTAAATAACACAGCTCAGAAATTCTAGGAAAACTGCATGTCATGTGGCTGTCAGAATGGAGTTGAGCGAGTCTGTGGACCAATATTTGAGAACTACTTAGAAAGGCCTTAAACAAATATGGGGTGTTGTATCTCATATGAAAATCTCTCACACAGGGCTCAAAAGAAATATGGAATCATTTGCCAAAGGAAATGTTAATATGATTGAAATGTACAAATTATCTTTTCACTGGAGGAAGACCCACTTTGAAGATGGAAGTGAGAAAACCATTGGCACAGGAATAAGGCAGAGAGACCTTTTGAAGCTGACCTTGATCAGACAAACCTGTAGCTCGGTAGGAAACTCACTTGGAGAAAATTCACGTTGTTCCAAATTTAGACATTATTGAAAGACTGAGCCTTCTTATTGCTTTCCTTCTCAGGAGGATTTTTTCCTGCTTTAGTATAAATAGCAGCTTGATCTTTAGTGTTTGCAACCTAATCAGAGTTCAACTGGGTAAGAATTCTGCACCGCCTGAAGGGAGGGCATAAGCTTCATTCAGTCATTCAACAATGTGCATCAAACTCTGTTCAAAGCCTAGTGACTCTTTGTTCCATGTTAGGAAGATACAGCAGTAAACAAAATAGAAGAAAAAAAAATCCCTGCCCTTGTACCATACACAGCAATAAGTAAGTAAATGATACAGTATCTTAGATGGGGATAAGGTTTATATAGGGAAAAAATACAGTCTCTCATACCCATGAGAGACTGGGACTGCCAGATTAGAACAGGGATTGCAATTTTAAATAGGGCAATAAGGGAAGACCTTAGTGAAAAGTGACATTTCATCAAGTGATATTTGGCTGTCTGGGAGTGAGCCAACTTCAAGAAGAGGCTTCAACCAAAGAGAGCTCAGGGCAAAGGCCCTGAGGCAGAAACACACATTGACAGGCTTGAAGGCAGCAGTCAATGTGAAGGGAGCAAAATGAGCTAAGAGAAATGTGGGGGGAGATGAAGCCTAGGAGGTAACAGGTGGGGACTCAGCAGGTCATCAGGGGACTAGGGTAGGAGAGAGAGGCAGGTGGAAAGGGATTAAGAATAGAGTTTGGACAAAGAGCAGGGCACAAGTGAAAGGCATGGTGTTAGCGAGTATTTGAGGAGGACTTTAACACTGGTCAAGCTCTTTCTTACACAATCCTTGTTCAAACTGCACATGTTCTCACTGAGCATCCCAGGGTTGGGCAGGTTCACACGTGGGCTCTTCACTTGTCAAAATACCCTGACTGTAGGAAAAGGCAAAGAGAAACTGGAGGAAGGGTCCTGCTTTGGATCACAACAAGAACATTAAATCAGAACTTGAACACAGGTCCACCTCCTCAAATTCTGTATCCATTGCTACCCCTAAAGTCTACTAGCCACCCAAAAGCTGTGTGCTGGAGACCCATGGCATCATTTCTCTGGGCCTACGGATAATGGATGATTGGTCTAGAACAAGCCTACAGTATTCAGCATCTATAACTTAATCATAATGTGCCAATATTTGTTGATTGGGTGATGACAGACTGCAGGGAGTGGCAAAGAGTTAAAAGAAAAGTTTTAAGGGTTGGATTGTAATCCTGGTTTTCTTAAACCTTGCATTGGTCGTGGAATAGAAATTATCAGAATACCTTTCACCTGACTGGTGGAGTGGCTCAAATGGTAGAGCACCTGCCTAGCAAGAGTAAAGTCCTGAGTTCAAACCCCAGTGCCACCAAAAGAAAATATTTCACAGGGGACTAAGTATTATTTTGTGAAGCTTTTGATACACATATGGATATTTATCCAGAAGTACATAAATATATTTATGTACATTCTAGTCCTGATGTAAGATAATTTTTTTACTCTGGATCACCAACAATAATTTGGAAGCTGCTTGAATAAATGCAGTTGCCATCACTGAATGCTAGTAGAAGTTTAATGAATATTATGTAGTATTGGGCAAAAGAAGGGAAGGTCAAGACAGGAGTGACACATATAAAAGAATGTATTTAAAAAAGAACACCTTTTACTAGAGGCCAGTCATAGTGGCTTAAACTGTAATTCCAGCTACTTGGGAGATGGAGAGCAGGAGGATTACAGTTCGAGGACAACCCAAGGAAAAGGACACTATCTCAACCAATGGCTGGGTGCAGTAGTACGAGCTTATCATCCCCAGCTACATAAATAGGAGGACTGGGGTCTAGACTGGCCTGGACATAAAACGAGACCCTATGTCAAAAGTAACTGAAGAGAAAAGTACCAGGGGTGTGGCTCAAGCAGTAGAATGCCTGCTTAGCAAATGTGAGGCTGTAAGTTCAAACCCCAGTATAATCAAAAGAAAAAGAAGGAAGGAAGAGAGGGAGGGAGGGAGCAAGGGAGAGAGGAAGAGAGAGAAAGAAAGAAAGAGAGAGAGATAGAGAGAGAAAGAAAGAAAGAAAGAAAGAAAGAAAGAAAGAAAGAAAGAAAGAAAGAAAGAAAGGAAGAAAGAGAAAGAAAGAAAGAAAAGCAGCATCCATATGTTTCAGTCTCCCTCCTACCATCCCATTCCCGCCATGGGAACACCATCACTATAGTAACCTATCTAGACTGAGTTCCTTTAAGATCAAGACCTCATTGTATCGTCCATGGATGCCCCAAAATATAGTAGGCTATAAAATATTTACTTCATAAGTAGGTTTAAAATGTATTTCCTGTGGTCTTGCTTTTAGTTGGTATCCTAAAGTTTTAATTAAAGACTTAAGAGTGGCAGCAACCCCTCACCTCTCCCCAAGAGTGGTTACATTTTGATAGAAGATTCCTTAAGATCAAAAATCTTCAAACTCAAATTCTCCAGTCTCTGGCAGTGACTGTCAGCATCATGGGAAACGCTGAGAGGATTTGTTTGGTAGGCAGGGGCCTCCGGAACTGTTCTTAAATTACACTGTGATGGAGGCCCCTTACTCCGAGGCTAGATGTGCTCCTTTCCTTGGCTGGGCAGCTGAGATGCCAGGCCCGTGGTTTCCGGTGCCATCACTCACCTGCACACATTGAGTGTCTCCCTAGTGCCTGCATTGTACATGTCACATGCACAGTCCTAGTGAATGGTGGAGTCAAATACCCCACTGTTAGAATTATTTTCAGTTTGAATAGTTGCATGCAAAAAGAAAAAAAAAAAGATAGGAAGACAAAGACTTGGGGCTGCAAATTTTGGGGACATATACCTCAGTATTTCTAATGAAAGTATTAGTTTCAAAAATTATTTTACTTTGTTGTACATTTTTAAATTATATAATGATTTTTGTCTTTCTCTAAGTTCAAAAATCAAATAAAAAAAGGTAGATTTGAATTCTCAGGATATTAAGGTGAGAGGACTAAAACAAAATAACTTTCTAAGGATTTCTTTCGGGTTTTTTTGAGACAGGGTCTCACTATATAGCCCAGGCTGGCCTTTAAATCCATCCTCTTCCTCTACTTCCGAAGTGTTGGGATTATAGAAGTGTACCACCATATCCTGCAAGAATTTCTTTAACATCTCATTATGGTATACATGGTATAAATGTATATAGCAAGCACTTAGAAACTGTTTTTGCTAAAAAGCATTGATTGACTCCTCACTTGGGCCCACAAGGTAACTAAGAGCAGGAGAAAAACCTGGCTTCCCACCTTTTTTGCATTTGCCTCCTTTGTCTTAAAACTTTGGGTCAGATTCCTCCTGGTAATCACTCTGAGTGTCTGAATAAAGCCAGTGATACCTAACCTAGCTCATTCTCCTTCAAGGTTAAAGGTACAGAGATAAAAGCAACAGAGATAAGAGGCATCTTACTGTCAGCTTTTACAGTGTCCTGTCCCCAGCCTCTGAACATGTGCTCAAAAGTCTCCATCCATTGTCTCCATGCAGTCACCTTGGATTCCAGGAAGAGCAGAGCCTCACAGACAGAACACCTCATGATGACATCACCGCCATTCCTGATCAATCATCTCATGGGAACCCAGTTGTCCCAAGGAATAAGGACTTCAAGTGACCTTGAACAACCAGCACTGAGAATAATGGTCCACCAGACCATCTTCACCAAAACTGCTTAATTCTGCATATCTCTTTTCCCTGCTCCAGTTCTTCCTCCTTTAAATCTAAAGTTTGTGTCATTACAAAGATGGGCCGAGATGCCTCTTCCTAACATAGCTATGTTGATTAAAATCTTTTCCTGCCTTTTCACTACTATTTCTGCCTGTTTTCTTTGGGGCAAGTGACTGGACCTGACATACTGGAACCCTCAGAGTTGCACTTATGGCCAACATGATAAAAAAAATACATGATAAAATAATACTAAGAAAATAAGCAAGGGTGCAGTGGCTCACACCTGTAATCCCATTTATTTAGGAGGCATAGGTAGGAGGATTGTGGTCCAGGCTGGCCTAGGCAAAAACATGAGATCCTAGGAGTTCAAAAAACAGAGCTAAAAGAGCTGGTGGAGTGGCTCAAGTGGTGGAGCACCTCCTGGCAAGTGCCAGGTCCTCAGTTTAAACCCCAGTACCCCCCCAAAAAAGAAAGAAAATAATCTATACTTAAAATCAGCTAATAAAAATCCATGTTCTAAAATCAGAATTCTGATTTTCTGCAGAATTCTGGTTTCTTAGTATTTTTGGAAAATTTTAAAAAGACATCATTTTGCATCTCCTTCCCTCCCACCTTCCTTTATCAATGTATTTAAGAAAATATGTTCCTACCAAAGCTCCATTCCAGATGGGACAAGCGATCCACACACTCCATCCCGTAAACCAAAGCTTGTAAGAAAAGACAGGGAAGAAAGCAATAACTCCAGAAAACACACTCAGACTCCCCAGAGTCACAAGAATGCAGCCAGCAGCTTGGTATAGGCCCTTCATTGTCCTCAGTGACTTGGGTGCTTGATCTCAAAGATGTTTTGTTACCAAAACATGAGGGCACGACAGTCCTCAATAAACACAAGTTTCTTAGAGACAGTCGCCATGACACATGTGGACTGTTGATCTACTTGGAAACAAGATTCTACTTGTTTCACCTTCGGTGAAACACATGACATAATCTTTGACATAAGTTAGGCACAATAAATTCTAATACTATTTCAGAGTGGTCACTCCTTGTACTCTTGGAGTTGCTGCTTTGATGCTCTTCATTCTGTTCTGTCCTGTCCTGTCCTGGGGAGTGACCACTTCCTGGCTTAACCGGATTCAAAGCCCTGCTGACTGAGCTAATTGTTTCTCAGCTCAACCTGCATGGTGGTTGTAGCATAAAGCCGACATCCTTTGCACAATAGAGCCACATTCCCAGCACAATTTCCCACAAAACAAAGTAAAAATAAGCACCCGGATCACTTTTCATTACATTTAATTTCAATGATTTAAAGCATAACCAAGACTTTCTTCTCCTTTCAAAGTTTAATTCCAGTACAATTATTCTTGAATTTTTGATAAAGATGGTTGATATGCTTTATCCCCAGATAGGCCTGAGGTTCGTTACACAGTTCAGCATTGTTTGTACTAAGCTAGCTTGCTTCACCTTAGTTATTTTATTATTAATTCAATTTTCGAGTAAGTGCAAAGATGAGCATATGTACTTGTGAAATAAAATAAGCTTGGAGAAGCAGTTCATCAGCTGAATGAAATACTGATCTCAATTCATTCTTCGGTTGTTCTAATTTGAGAGGTTAAGCTATGCACATTTAAGCAGCTGCAAGTTTTCATCCTTTAACTTTTCATGCTTTTGAGAAAGCAGTGTGTACTTCATTTTGATGAATAGAGTAAGTCTGAATCTGCCTTCCAATTTTTTGTTTTGTTTTGTTATGAGTCAAGGCCTCACTATGCGGCCCAGACCGGCCTGGAACTTGTGATCATTCTGCCTCAGCCTCCCACGTGCTAGGATTACAGACACTACCACCTTGCCTGGCTCCAAGTAAACATCTTTTGTTTGGTGGTACTGGGGATTAAACTCTGGGCCTTGCACTTGCTAGGCTGGTGATCTGTCACTTGGGCCACTCTGTCAGCTCTTTCTGTGTTGGCTATTTTTGAGATCAGGTCTTACTTTATGCTTGGTCTTTCATCCTACTATTTGTGCTTCTCCGTGTAGCTGGGGGATGACAGGAACTTGTTACTGTGCCCAGTGATTGATTGAGATGGGATCTCTTGAACTTTTAATCTGGGCTTACCTCGATCTGCGATTCTCCCAATTTCCAGACTTGAGACACTGCACCAGACCCAAAATGTATCTTGAAGACACAGAACATGTTCTAAACTTGACTGAACAATTTTTTATTCAATATTAATACCTTTTTCTAGGACACAATGACAAAGACAATTTAGGTGTGGAAATGTGATAGTTGAGAGCATGGATTTTGAGTGGGGCAGAGCTGGGATCTAGTTCTGGTTCCACTCTACCAAGTTTGTGTCTTTCGGGAAGGGTAGGCTACTTTACTTTTCTCTCCATTTCTTCACATGGGAAATGGGAATAACATTAGCATTTACCTCAGCAGGTGATTGGTTGAGAGGATCAAATGAGCCAATCAATGTAACTTATCACTGAGCTCAGCTCAGCAAGGTTGTTCAGCAAGTTCCTGTTATTACATTGGGACCTTCTGCCTTCAGAGTTCTTTTGGCATTGGACAAAGACAAGGTCATTACTGCTTCTTTTAGCCATCATCTTTGAAGCATTAGGTTTGACTCTTCTGATCAATTAGGTAAGACACCCAAAGGACCCTCCCATGTGTTGGGGAGAACTATTTCTGATTCTGCATTTTCTTTCCAACAGTCTACCTGTATGAGGCGTTCCACAGGTTGACCCTGATTTTGAAGCAGCTGTGTTCCTGAATATTTATTCAGAATCCTGGAGACCACCTGAGGCTTTTTGGAATAGCTGCTAGTCCCCATCTTTAAACACTGTGCCCTAAATTCTCTGATGTTTTTCTGCATTCATTAAACATACAAGGCTTCTAGAACTGTGTCTGGCACTTGTACAGCTATACATGCTATTAAATATTTGTTGAGTTAATTGGTGAATATGTTGGATTTTCCAGCAACTCGTTTGGATCCCTGTGGAGCCACGCTAGGATAGGTCCCACCATTGCCAGTGTTGTCAGTGTTTCCTTGATGCAGGGAAGGGGTGTGGAGTAAAGGCAGACTTGTTTGTGAGTATTTGGTTTGCGCTGTTTTGACTTTTTTCCAGTACTTCTTATCTCAAGGTTATAGCTCCATGGTATGTCAACATCTGTGGGTCACATCACTCTCCCCTGTTTGCATGTTTGGAAAACACAGACTGTTGAAATACTTGTGTTAAACAGTACAGAGATGGCAAACAAGGAGAGAGTATTTTTTGCTTTAATTTAGAGGGAATTTTAAGTGCTTTTAACACTTTTTGGCTAAACCCAGCACTGTCAGTGTAACTTGGAAACCCGAATTTATTCATGGGGATGTCACCAATTAATATAACAAAGAGAAGGGGTAGAAAAATAGATATTTCTTCATTCATGTTTTCCCACAGGAAAGTAATTCACACTGATTTCATTAAAGTGAGGACAGTTTCAGTGGGAGCAGCCACTGGAAAGGAAGAAAAGATGTCACCTACTCCTGTCCTGGCTGCTTTTCCCTCAGTCCAATACCAGCATGGCTGGAAGGGCCTTGCTCCTCAGACACTTGTGTTTGCCACTAACTTACTGGAAGGTGTCTGTCAGTTTCCCTTGGAGGCATCTGACTCAAAGTCTTTGCAAGATTTCACCTTCAGGAACCCCTAGATCTTGGTGCAAGAAAGAAAGGCAGAAGCTCCGCCAAACTCTTCAACCCTTCTTGGCCACTAAACATGAGACACAAACAGCAAAAAGCCCAGACTAATATTTTGACTCCAACACACACACACACAAACACACACACACCCAGTAATCAACCATTGGGTCAAGCCTGGTTCCTCAAGGAGGTGGGGGACGCCAGGGATGCAGAGGGACAAAACCTGATTTGGACTTCCTCTACCTTTTTATCCTATCCTTCATATGTGAGCCCTAAAAGTAACACTGTTTACCCATGTATGAAAATAGAACAATGAAACCTGTTGAAATTGTTTTAAGAACGGGGGGAGGAAGAAGGAAGGAGAGGAGTAGAGGGGGTGAATTAGATTGGGGTACATTGTATTTGTGTATGGAAATATCACAATGAAACCCCTTTGTACAAGTAATGTACACCAATGAAAAGGAAAAAACAAGCAAGCTCAGTAGGTACTATAGTCTTTGGGTTTAAAAATGTTTCAAAGTTACAGAAGGATTCATTTTTATCAAGAAAAGAAACAAACAAAAAGAAAAAGAAAGAAAATGCAGCTCTCAAAGATAGATGGAGTTCTTTGGGTGAGGTGGCTCACATCAGTCATCCCAGCTACTCAGGAGAGATCAGGAAGATTAAGGTTCAAGACCAGGCAGGGCAAAAAATTAGTGAGACCCCATCTCAACAAATAGGCTGGGCATGGTGGTTCACATCTCCCAGCTACTTGGGAAGCCTAAATAGAAGGATCACTGTCCAGGCTGCCTGGGCATAAAACATGAGACCCTACCTGAAAAATAACTAAAGCAAATCATCAATATCACAAACAACAAGTGTTGGTGAGGAGGTGGGGAAAGGAACCCTATACACTGCTGGTGTAAATTAGTATAGCCACTATGGAAAACAGTATGAAGGCTCCTTAAAAACTAAAAATAGAACTGCCATATGATCCAGCAATACCACTCCTAGGGTATACCCAAAGGAATGTGAGTCAGGTTACAATAAAGGCACCTGCACAACCATGTTTACTGCAGCACTATTCACAATAGCCAAGCATGGAAACAGCTAAGATGCCCCACTACTGATGAATGGACTAAGAAAATGTGGTGTTTATATACAATGGAAATTTATTCAGCCATAAAGGAGAATGAAATTTTCTCATTTGCAGGTAAATGGTGGAACTGGAGAACATCAGCTTAAGTGAAGTTAGCTAGGTTCAGAAGGCCAAAGCCACATGTTTCCTCTCAAATGTGGAATATAGACCTAATATAAATACAGCAATATCATGAAAAACAGGTCACGCTAATGGGCAGTCACATATGAGAGAGGGAGAATAAAAGAAGGAAGTTCAGAAGGTGAATATGGTGAATATAGTACTTCCTATACAAGAATGAATATAGAAGTTTTTAAACTTGTTGAAATCACCATAAGAAGGAGACTAAGGGAGAAAGGAAAAAAATAGAGGGGATGAACCAATTCGGGTTATAATACATATATACATGGAAATGTCACAAGGAAACTCCCTATATAGCTATCTTATACAAAAAAAATGTCTTTTTTCAAAAATGGAGACTAGGAAGGGGGGTTGGTGCCAGTGGGAAGGGGAGGACATAAGGAAGGGTGAGGTGGGTGAATATGGTGGAAGCAGTATGTACTCAGGCATGAAAATGGAACAGTGAGACTGTTGAAACTATTCCAGGAATGGGGAGGGGGATAAAGAGAACGATGGAGGGGTGAATTCAACTATGATCTAGTATAACAACTTTGGTAAATGTCACAATGTGCCCCCAGTACAACAACAACAATAATCATAGATAACTAAAGCAAAAGGGGTAGGGTATGGCTCTAAGGGAGAGCACCTGCCTAAACACTCAAGGCCCTGAGTTTGAATGTAACACTATCCTCATAAAAATAGGTGAAATTAAAATGTCTTCTTTTCCTAGCAGCTTCAGATGCCAAGTTCCATTTGTTTACATATTAGAAGATAGCTCACACAGCAGAAAAAGCATAAGCTTTAGTGTCAGAAAGGCCCGGATTTGATACAGAAGTTTCCATCTGATATATAAAAATGGAATGAAAAAAATTAGAGAAAATAACATCCTACTAGCACC